ATTCTCCAATTCCATGATTCTGCATCAAAAGGGATGTTTAAAAGGAACTGTAACACCACCACATTGCATCTATGCCCGCGTTTATTTATACTGAACAGCTTTAAAAATACAGAATAAAATAGCTTTATCTACTATTATTCACAACATCTGGTCCAAATATTACATTTTTAAATATTTAGTTGTTTAATGAAGCAATGTTAGAAAAAAACCCAAACAAACCATGAATTAAAAAAAAAAAATCCAAAAACAAACAAACAAACAAACAAAAAAACCCAAACCAAAACTCCATAAAAGAATTACACATCTTGGAACAACAACAACAAAAAAAAAAAATCAAACAACACCTCCCCCCCAAATAAACTCTTGCTGTTTAACAAAAAAAGTTTTACAGCCAAAGTCAGTCACAAAAAGTCATGGAAAAAGAAAATTTATCCCCACTGCCTAAGAACAGTCAATAGTTTGTTACGCCAAAGGTTGTTATGAACAGACAAATACAAGAATTTGGACTGGCAGTAAAGATGATTGACCTGGAAAGGTGGAGGAAAAGCCAGAGTACACAAGGCAAGTCGAGATTTCCCTCTGATATCCATAGGTACGGATGGCAACAGCCACAGGCAGATGGGAACCAGCCAGGGATCCTCAGGATGGCTCCAACACGGATCCCAACACTTGGAGCAGCCCAGGGAGACCCTGGGGACTCGTGGCCTCCCCAACCCCACAGCTCCAGAGCCCCGAGGGGGCCGTGAGCCTCCAAAAACACAGAGAAACCTGCCCCAAGTGGGACCTCTCTGCAAAAAAGAGTGAGCCACAGCTCCCCTTGCTCCAAAAAACTCAAGGAAAAAGGAAAGTGAAGTCGCTTTTGGTTGCAAAAGGCCACGGAAAAGAAACGTGAAGGTCGTGCTGGTCTCACACGCGCGTTTGACACACCAGAGATTGATTACATCGAGCACAGTCGGGGTGGGTGAGGCATCCAAGGCTCACCCAAACCATCAGACACCAGGGGTTTGGGGCCACGTGTGCCTGGAGTGCTGTTTATACCCGAAATGACGTGATTTCCACACTCTGGAAGGATAAATGTACCAATGAGGGGTCGCACTGATGCTCCTCGGGGAGGGTTTTCTGTGCAAGCGCCAATTGTGCACCGGGAGCCCCGAGGGCTCAGTGGGGAAAGGAACGAGAAAACCCTTCAGTTTTGGGTAGGAACACAAACATGGGTAAATAAAGTATACACAACCACTATAGATTCGTCAATGAAGAAATTCTACCATCACATGACATTGTCATGACACTCATACCACTCCCTCCCAGGAAAGCGCCGCCGTTATCCTGAGTGGAAATGTTATTTTTAATATATGGAAATAAAATACTGCAATATATTCATGTACAAACCAAGTTGTCATATTTCAAGTCAGTATTAAAAGGCATAAAAGCAAATTTTGGGGTTTAAAAGGTTGAACTTTCTGAGCGAGGTACAAGGTGAAGTCCCTCTAATATGACAACGTGAGTCAGCCACAGCAGGCAGCTACGAAACCTAAATTTCTATAGGTACAATTTGCAAGTATTTGCTTTAGAAAACGTGTTTCAACATGTCAGCAAGAATCCTTAATTTAACCTAAAAAAAATACAAGAGAATATCAATTACAAAAATCCCAAGTTACTTTGTTTGTATACATTGATGCCACCTTTGATATGACAAAATGATATTTCTACCATGAATATTTGCCCTTCCCTCTTATGGTTGAAACATCTCATCACCTCTTAACTCACCTCTCAGGTGTTGCCTTCCCTGGGTGGTTGGAGTTTGGCTGTTTGAAAGGCAGGGAAGAAAACAGAGAGGAAAATACAGTATTGCATTTACAGTCAGGTTACATCTGGATGTCACCAGCAAACACGACATGACGTGTTTAAATGCTTTTCCAAACTGCAGCTTAATCCCCCAACACACCTTTCAGCAGCTCAGGATGGGCACCCAGCTCCCCTGGAATTTCACAGCAGCCACTGGGGTGGAAAAGTGACCAGGAAAAGTGGCCACGGGAGGGTTTAAGGCCCAAAATCACCTGCTGCAGCTGCACAAACCCAGAGGAAATTCAGTTATTTCCCTCACAAGGAAAAGCAACGGGTCTCCTTGCACTGGCAGCACTGGTGGGGTCCAGGTGCCTCGGGAAGGGAAAAGGGAGCTTCTCTTCCCAAGGTACCTGTGATCAGCTCCGTCCTCGCTCACCTCAGCCCAGGTCACTCCAGGGGCTGCCTCTGGCTCCATCCCGAGCCTTCCTGCACATCCCAGGGGCTCCAGCAGGTCTCCTTTCCCAACCTGAGGCCCACCTTTAACCATTCACCCACGGGATAAGGTGGAGAGTCCTCAACTGACAGACAGGGTTACAAAAATGACCAGAACCAAAACTGCTCCTGGTGTTCCCTGCAGGACAGGCCTGCCCGCCCTCAGCCAGGGGGGAACGGGCACAGGAGGGCCCAAAGTCACCCAGAGAACAAAACCCAACAGTTAAACACAGAACTGCACTGCACTTGCTCAGAGAGTTGTTCCAGTGCTGCAGGAAAGGAGGAGTGTTCTGCTCCAGGGAGGAGGAAAACTCCCCTTGGACTCAGTGCCCTGGAATCTGAAGTGTCTTGGCAAATCCCAGGTGAGCCAACACATGGCTTGACCTCAGCCAGGGTGAGAGGAGACAAACTTCTCATCACCTCCTCTCTCTGAAGTTCTCCAAACTGCTTGGGGGAGGAGTTGGAAAGCCTGGGAACAGGAGTGTCCCTCCCATGCTGCTGGATGGGGCAGCTCAGCTGCTCTGAAGTGGCACCACTGGAAATAAAAAGGTTTTTTTCTCCATTTCTCAACTTTTACAAGATAATCAACTTTGGCATTTTACATCACCACAACCCTTTGGGTTGTACAACCACCAGAGGTGGCTTTTGTTTTCCTTTGTTATGTGTATTTTTAACTCCCCCATGTCTCCCACACATCTTTGGTTGAACTTAAAAGTCGGGAAATCTGGAAGCTTCGTGCCACTGATCAGAGGTGTCTGCACTCCAACTGTGTGCAGGTGGACGTGGGAATGGAACACCTGACTACCTGGAGAGGGAAAGTTTAAAAAATGAGGAAAAATGACTTTGTTTCACAGGCAAACAAACCTCGTCTACTACACAACAACTCTTCTGACCAGCTTTCGAGACAGCCCAACTGACACCGAGACTGCAAACTACTGAAAGTTCCCCGAAGCAGGAACAAAGGCATGCTTGGATATGGAAAAAGCGGGATAAAATAGGTTCTGGAAACAGCCATGGCATGCTGAGAATATCCACGGAATCATTCCGACTCTACACTACTCAGTACTGATCCGTTACGCTCCTGCCTTGCCCTCCCACCCCAACCCCTCCATGCTTCAAAAACCCAGAACAAATTCACCTGGAAGCAGAGAAAACAGAGTTCCTGCGCTCCTGTCCAGTAGTCAAAGTTTGATAAATATCTCAGGGAATTACAGGATCCACTGTTATGGTTTTCCAGGAATACAAAACGCAAGCACCGTAGAGCATTACTGGCCTTGAAATTACATTACACGACATTTCCCTGATGATTCCACAGCTGAAAATGCTTTTTGGGGCCACACTGAAGTCTAAAACTAACTTGCAATAGTAAGAACATTAAACAGGAATAAAACTGTTAATTATGAATGCATGATGAGCGTGAACACCCACAAAACATCAGAGCTGAGACTATTCCAGGAAAAAAAAAAATCTCTGAGTGGTGCCCTGATTGGACCCGATACCCGTGAAACCATCCGTGGGTGGGGCCACCAGATGTAGTGTCTCTGCCATTCCAAACCCCCTTCCCAGCAGGAATGAGCCTCTGGACAAGCCTCACAAGGAGAGAAGGAAGAGGCAATGCAATGTCAGCTGCTTGTGCAGCATCAGCTGTTGATATCCCATAAAAACCTCCTGCCCAGATCCAAGCCAGCATTCCCATCACCTGGCATTCCCTGCACAGAGACAGGGGTTAACTGCTTAGCTGCTCAATTCATTGCCCTTGCTGTCTGGGAAACATCCTGCTGGATGCAGGCACTGGACTAAAAAACCACCAAGTCCTGTCTGGAAGTTCAAGTTTCCCATCCCTGTAACACTCCAGCCACGTGTCCCTGGGTAGAAACCCTGGGTAGAAACCCTGGACACTGGGATTAGCTGGGGGAATCCCAGGTGGAAAAAGCAAACGTTCAGAAAATGAGAAAAGGTGTGAAAGAAGTGGCTCCTGCAGCACTGAGCCAGCAGAAGGCAGTCCTGGTTTTCATGGGCAAAGTTAGTGCAGAAACTTCCTGTCTTGGCACTGGATGTGCCACTGGAATTGTGGATAATTCAAAATAATACTTTCATGATTTGCCTTTATCAACTGAATCCAGTTTTCAGGGTACTGCAAATATGGAATGTGCAAATCAGGGAGTAAAAAACAAGATCTATGGGATTTGACATGACTAAAAGTAACTATTTTTCCTTTTTTTCTTTTCTTCTTCTTTTTTCTTTTTTATCTTTTCTATTTTTCTTTTTTTTTCTCTTTTTGCCTTTTTTTTCTTCTTTCTTTCTTCTCCTTTTTTCTTTTTTCTTTTTTCTTTTCTCTTTTCTCTTTTTTCCATTTTTTCTTTTTTCTTCTTTCTTTTTTCTTTTTTCTTTATTCTTTTTTCCTTTTTTCCTTTTTCCTTTTTTTCTTTTTTTTCTTTTTTCTTTATTCTTTTTTCCTTTTTTCTGTTTTCCTTTTTCTTTTTTTCTGTTTTCCTTTTTTTCTTTTCCTTTTTTCTTTTTTCTTTTTTCTTTTTTCTTTTTTCTTTTTTTTTTTTTTTTTCTTTTTTTCCCCTCTTTTTCTTTCTTCTCTTTCTCTTTTCTTTTTTCTTTATTCTTTTTTCNTTTTTTCTTTATTCTTTTTTCCTTTTTTCTGTTTTCCTTTTTCTTTTTTTTCCTGTTTTTCTTTTTTTTCTTTCTTAATTTTTTTCCTTTTTTCCTTTTTCCTTTTTTTCTTTTCTTTCCCCCCCCCTTCCCACGGATTCAGATTTCCTGGCATAACCAACATTGCCAGCAATGACTGTGCCAAGTGAGGGCTCCAATAAAATCAAAATTTAAGTTAATTAAAGTTTTTCAATAGCACCTACACACTTCCAGGACCTAAACCCATTTAAAATAAACAGACTTAGGTACCACAACTCCCCCAAACCCCTGGAATTTGCCCCAGAGACACCAGATCTGGCTCCCACCACCCACAACAGGAAAAGCCTTTTTTTTCTTCTTCTTCTTCTTTTTTTTTTTCTTTTTTTTTTTTTTTAAATCTGTCTCAGCTCTGGTTCCAGAATTTAAATGCAGATATACAAAACATATATTTTAATGCTTCTTAATCAGCAAGAAACTGCAAATACATCTTTTACTACAACTAGATAATATAATTTCAACTAAGGCTATACTGTAGCTTCTGAGTCTTCGTCTGAACTCCTGCAGTTACTGCTTTTCCTGAAGCCTTTCCACGTGTATCCCATGAAGGTGGGGCTGATGGGCAGGAAGCTGAAACACCTGTATTTTTTAATGAAGTTCATGCCAAAAGGCAAATCATACGTTTCCATGCCATCCAGGGATTTGCTTCCTTTCCCGATCCCTTTCTTCCATTTCCGTATTCCCCTTTCCTCAGGGCTTCCTAGAAGGCAAAACAAAAGGAAAAAAAAAGATATATATTCCTGGATATCTTTATGTGTACACACAAGTAATAAAGCAGAGGTTAAAAGAAGGAAGAAAAGCTCAAGGCTCAGCCACCACGTTCAGCAAAGCTCTGAAAGGATCTTCCAGACTCCTCAGAAGGGCAGGAAGAGGGAAACAAATACCATGTTTAACTTTTTAAGTGGAAGTCGAGGCAAATTTTTCCTCTCGAATGGAGCAGGTTTGGGGTCTTAAAACAGTTTTCTCTGCCTTCTGAAGACTGTTGTGGGGTGGTTTTGATCAGCTCTTTGGGATGTTTATGGGACAGAGGGCTCAGCCTGGAAAGGATCCCGGGGGTTCCCAGGGAAAGCCAGGCCTGCAGGTGTGAGGATGAACAGGAAAAGCAGGGCTGTCTCCCTGCTCCCCTGCCCCCCTGGAGGGCTGTCACTGCAGAAAGGCAGCTGTTGCTCAGGACAAGGAGAGCCCAGTGCTGACCTGGGATGGTGTTGTCCAAGATAAAGGCGACGCAGCCCCCGACGAACATGGCTGTGGTGAGCAGGACGTTCAGCACCTGATCAATCCCTGCTATTCCTGCAGAAACAGGCACAAATACAGACCTTTTGTCATTTTTATCATGCATACACACATCCTGCCAAGTTCAGTGAGGGATTTGTTCAAACAGGACTCTGGAAAACACGTGGGAATTAATGCAGAAGAACCTTCACCTAACACAGCCCCCCATGGGACACTCTGCCCCAAAATGTAACTCCATGAACTTTCAGTTGCTCATAAAAATGTCACAAAACACCATTTGAGAGTCTGCTGCAGACACAGCTGATTTAAACTATTGATTTTTTTTTATAGATATATTTTTTTATTATTAGAAAACTATAAAATGGAAAAGAGAAATGTCCAAAATGTAAAATGGTGTGGGACTGAAGTAACTCTTTTTATAAATCTTTATTTTTTAAAAGGGCAAGACTTCAAAACACCAGTTCATGGCAGAACATTCTATCAGTGTGTGATCACCCACCTCTGCCTGAACAATCTGCTTTGTGAACCACTTAAAGTAGGACAGATATGCCCTTAAATCCGGGTCTGAAGCGACAGATAAATACTGTCAGTTAATATTTCCTTTAAAACACCCCAAACCAGTGAAATATTCCTTTAGAGAGCCCATCTCTGATGACACAGGATGTCATGATCACCGCTGAGAGGGGAATACTAAACCAGAAAACCTTCCCCATGGATTCCCCAAAGCTACAATTTGATTATCAGCCTGGAGTTCATTAAAATTAAAATTCCCATTCAGAACATGTGTCTGCAGTGACAAAAAAATTCAACCCCCCAGAAAAATCCCTCCCTCCCAAACTCTACCTTGGTGCTTCCCCTTAGTCTTTTAACATCATTTACATCTCAGATTCACCCTTTTTGTCTTTTTTCCTGGTATTTGCCCCCTTTCATTGCTCTATGGAGTACCAAGAAAAAGCAGGAAAACCACAGCTGTATCCCACTGAAACATTTAATTCAGGTCTCACCATCCTAATTTAATTCTCCTCAGAGAATATACATATATACACACACACATATAAAGCTTATCTGTATCTACAGCTTTTATTGTCTCCAAATACTTTGGGTTTTCTCTTACTGACCTTTCCATTCCTTTGTACCTGTTTGTACTTCCCATGTGAGTGGAAGGGAAAAGCAGGTTTTGTGTGGGTGAGCAGGAACACGTACCTGTGACCAGGGGGTTCTGTTTGAGATAACTTGGGAGGACGAGCCCGAAGAAAATGGAAAATCCAAGGACAAACAGATTCCGAGAGGAGTTTAAATCAATGAACTGGAGGTTTGACAGACCCACAGCTGTAATCATCCCTACATAAAAAAAACAAACCCAAAGATCAGCTTTTAGATAGGCTTTTCCTTCAAAAACAGATAGAAAAATACATATAAACACAGAATTGGAGTGAAAAAGAGGAGTAAAGTCCATATTACCAAAGAGGGTGCAGAAGAGAGCCCCCAGCACGGGGTCGGGCAGGGATGCAAAGAGGGCACTGAACTTCCCAACCATCCCCAGGAGCAGCATGAAGGCAGCTCCATACTGGATCACCCTGCGACTCCCAACCTGCAGGGAAAAAAGGAAAAGACACTGGAAAAAGTCTGCACTTGGTCCAACTTCACACCTGGAAGTTTATTTTGTTATTCTCCTCAATCAAATTTCTTCTCAAGCTTCCTGTGTGCTTTTGTTGGTGCTTTCCAAGTGGCCCAGCTGGGACAGGGCTGTGCTCCAGCCTAACAGAACTTGCTCTAATTTGGGTTTTGTTAACACCAAGTCAGCTTTAAAACCACGTGTAAATGCTACAGCACAACCACCAGGAAATGTGGTGCAGGCCCAGCTACAAGAGAGAAAGCAAGGAGAGGCCACACCTGGGAGAGATGGAGAATGGAACAAATAAATTCCATGTGTTGCTGCCCTTTGACACAGCAAGATGTGGATGAGGAGAAAGAGGAGTGGGATTTCTAAGCTGACATTACCAAGGTTTTGCAAAACCCCTCTGAGACCAGGACTGAGTTCACTCCATATGCAAATCAGGGCTGTGCTGACACTGAAACCAGGGGCCTGCACTTCCTTCCCAGTTTTATTTTAAGCACCCAAACTTCAGGCAGTGTTTGTCTGTGTTGCAGTGGTAGATGATAAACCTGAACAGTTGATATTTTGACACTGTTCCAGTACCAGAATAGGTGCCCCAGGGACAAAAAAACCCCTTTTACACTGTAAGGTGGTTTCTGGCAAAGCCCTTTGCAGGTCTCCTGGTACAGAGTATTGGGGTTCAAAGCAAAGGAGATATTAATTTGTTGACCAGGTGTGGCTGAGCTAAATGAGTGCAATGAGAAACACAAGATAGAGCAGGCCTGAAAAATGGTCCTTCTCTCCCCCCCTTCCTCACTGCTGAGCTCTCAGGTGGGATTGTTCACCTGCAAACAGGAGCTACACCAGCAAATTGGGGAGTTCACTAAATTACAAGAGAGTTTAACTTGCACCTTTCTCTACCTTATGAAGACATTCATTTCCTGAGGGGCACCAATATCTTGCTCTAAAATAGAGTATCACCAATATCTTGCTCTAAAATTATCTTCCTCCATGAAAGAGGCAAATTCTTTAGAGACCCACATGCTGGTGACACTTATTTATGCAAATGCTCAATCACTGCAAGGCAAACAAATTAAGCTCCTCTGGAAAGCTACTGAAAACACCCTGGGCAGCACTTAGCTCAGCCTGCATATTTACTGCCAGCACACACACTTCAGGTGATTATTTGGGAGTGCATCAGGTGGGACCTGGTACCTCCAGTTCCCCACCACCATTATGGCATGAGCTGCCCAGACTTCAGCCCCAACTGATCAGAGTTAATTGATGCTCCTCTCATCAAATAAAACTCACAGACCAGCTCAGGATTGGGCAGTATTTACATCCAGTTGGAGCCTGAAATTTAAGTTCTAAGTGTCATTCTGTACCAATTTCAAGGAGGGAAAATGCCTTTTGAAATGACAGAATGGGATCACCAGGATGATGCAGCACTAAGGATCTTCCCCTCCCAAATAAACAACAGAGTATCCACATGCCAAAAATCAATTTAGGCAGAAATGAAGTTGAAATACTGTTAGGAATTTAGGAATGAGTGTGCAGGCAGGAAAGCTAGAGGAAGCACTGGAGCAGAGCCACCCAGCTGTGCCACTCTGGGCAAGGCACATTCACTCCTCCACCACACGCTCTGAACAGACTAACTGTGGTCAACCCTGCTTCAGCTGCCATCAAACATTCATTTTTTACTGTCCCAAAGCAAAATGCCCACTCATTTCTGTGGGCTGTTAATAGAAAAGTGTTGTTAATTCATATCAACCCCCATGAATAACACCAGAAAGGAAGCAGAACAGAATAAACCTTTCTTTAAGGATTTTTCTGACTAAAATTTCTTCTAGGAAATTTCCATCAGCAGCTGAATGGCAACTGGTACAGACAGCAGATGGTGCTGTTAGTGTTATATTTCATCCTGAACCCAGCAGAATAATCCTTTGTGCAGGAAACAAATGGTGGTAGATGATAAACAAATGGGTGAAGATAAATATATCATTTATATTGTATTAGGTCAGAGGGATGAGTTATTGGAAGCACAGAACACACATTTTCCACCTCATGTGCATGAAGGATTTATGGCTTCCATGCAAAATCCACAACAAGATGTACCAATTTACAACATAAATTACTGCTACCAATGTTGCTGGTATTTCTTAACAAGGTTAAATTAACAATATCAAGCAAATCTCTCTGCAGCCCAAGGCCTCCCAGTTCAAGGCACTCATCCAGTCCCACATGTGAACAAAGGGATTCCTCAATATATTTTGTTGATTAACACCCCAAAAAATACGTAACCCCTTAAAAACAAACATTTAGGGTACATTTAACTCTCAAATTACCTTGACTGCAGTGTCTGTGTCAGTGTACAGATGTCTGTCCTGGTACAGATGCAGATAAAGCCCAAGGACCACAAATTGCACTTTACTGTGCTCAAATGAGGCATTAAAAACAGTCACTTCCCTACTGATGCCTTCAGAGCCAAGACATCCAAAAAGTACCAATTTCTACATAGTTTACAGTGTTTATGCCTCACTCAAACCACCCCAGAGCCCTGGAATGCTGCCTTGGTTTTCCAAGGGACAGTTTATTTGGCAGCATCTGCTTTCTGCAGGTTCTAACTGCCTTCTACTCCGAATAAAAAGATCTTTGAGGCCCTGATGCAGAATAATGCATTTCCACCAGAGAACAGCTGGTACAGACAGGCAGGTGAATTCAGAATGATGTGTACAGTTTGTCTGCATGAGCAGAATGGTTTCCTGGAGGAGGATCATGCTGTGAAACATGAATGTAAGGAATACACCCCTGAGAGCTCAAGGTAAAGCACATACCTTTGTGATGCCCAAGACACCAATGTTAGGGCTGGAAGAGGTGGATCCATTCCCTGTCCCAAATACCCCATCCAGAACACAGGAGAGACCCTCGATAAAAATCCCCCTGTAAACCACAAACAGAAACCAAGAGTCAGTTTGTTGAGCACAGACTCCTTCAGAGGGTATTTTATGGCTCAGGGTTACAAGGGGGGTTGTCAGGGCATCTGTTCCATTATGGAATTATTGTAATTCATGTTTCCAGCTCCAACAAACCTGGAACACCCATCTGAGTTCTGTTTTCTGAGTCTTAGATACCCACATTCCTAAACTGAGGAAATTACAACATAATTCAAGTCAAACTTAAGAGCTGCTCTTTATTTCTCCAGCTGCATTTCAGGTGAATTTGACAAAACACCCCAAATTCCAGACCTGATTTAGAATTCTGTCCCTATGGAAACCAAGCTATCAACTTCCACAGACTCCAGCAAGAACAGGACTGGGATTCCAACACTCCATTTGCAACAAAATAATTCCACATGACAATTGCATCTTGTATTTCAGCCTCTTGGCCCTTGTGTTTGACCAAACTGTAATGTTTCATCTCGGAGCACATCCCAACGGGAAAAAAACCCAAAAACCCAAGTAGCTGAAGACACTGCAAACATTTCTGGTTTGGCCAGACCTGTTTATTGCATGGATGGGTGGAGGAGGAGCACAGGACAGCCGGGCACAGGCGTAGTAGTCCCCGATGGACTCGATGATGCTGGCGACGACGGCGCTGAGCATCCCGATCACCCCGGCAGCAGAGATGGTGGGCAGCCCCCACTGAACTGTGGGGAGAACAACACTGAGACCTCCCCTGCCCAGAAACAACTCAGGTATCAAAAAATACAGCCATTTCACGGAATCATGGAATTGTCTGGCTTGGAAAGGACCTCTAAGATCATCACGTTCCACCACTCCCCCAGCACTGCCAAGGCACCACTGACCCATGTCCCCGAGTGCCACATCCACAGGGATGTTAAATTCCCTCAGGGATGGGGACTCCACCACTGTGCCAGGGCTGGACAGCCCTTTCCAGGAAGGAATTTCCCCGAATCATGGAATTGTCTGGCTTGGAAAGGACCTC